TTCTCTCTGAGCCCGTGCAGCGGGGGTGCTGGGAAGTGTAGTCTTTCTCTCTGAGCCCATGCAACAGGAGCTGGTAAACACATAGCATCATGCTCCAGGGGATTTCTTTCTTTTTAAGATTTATTTATTTATGCACTCAAGAACTGGGGTGTAAGCCAGAGGTGCGGGGATGAGAGGATTCACCAGAGACAGAGTGGGGACCAGAACAGGCAGATTGATTGAAATACACTGCTGAGGGGAGCAGTGGGTGGGTCAGGAGAGGTCTGCTGCGCCCTGTGGGCCACTCACTCCCTGGCCAGGGGTGGAACTCGAGCTGCGGTGGCTGTGGACAGCTTCACGGTGCTGAGACTTCACCCCTGCGCCACCGGGGAGGGTCGCCTTCTTCCACTTCTTTTTGCCAGTTTTTATATTGGGACGTTCACTTCTTTTTCACGCCCTTTTAGTGAGCGCCGGGGTGTGGGCTGGGAGGCAGCCTCTTGCCCTCGCCACTGGGGTGCTTTAGAAAGGACCACGTGTGCCAGCTCCCTGCCCAGCAGCGGCCTTAGCAGTGTCTCCGCTCACGTGCTGGACGTGTCCGGGGTTCTGGGGTCCCTCCCCTCACCGTCCCCCATCCTCTGTGCCCTCCTCTGTGCCCCTCAGATGACCTCGTGGAGAAGGTGCCCTGCACGCTGACCTCCGCCCGTGTCTGCGGGTGCCGACCTGGCATGTTCTGTGTCACATCAGCCAGCAACTCCTGTGCCCGCTGCTCCCGCCACTCCACCTGCCCACCAGGGACGGTTGTCAAGTTCCAGGGTAAGCACCCCCCTCACCCCGGGACCCCCCTCACCCCGGGACTTGCACCACCTCACGGTGACTTCCACATGGCCTTGACTGCATGCACTGTACTCCCTGCCAGTGTTCGCTAGGCGCCCTGCACCCCTCCAGCCCTTCTGCGGCTTGTCTTCAGGCTCAGAGAGACCCCCAGGCCTGAGGCACAAGCCTGGCTGAGGAGGTCTTGCTTGACTTTAGGCCCTGGGCAGAAGTTCCCTGATGTCCAATGAACAAGAAAGGGAGCCGCAAGCTTCTGTCCTGGCAGTGTCCAGAACATTCTGATTGGTTTCTTCACAACTGAGACTTTAGGAATTAGAGGCACCTAGAGACTGGGCACCTGGCCAAAGACCTGGAAACTGGGTTTTCCAGCTTGCTGTGTGATTGCAGGCAAATTTCTTACCCTCTCTGGACTGGAAGTTTTCTGACAATACAGGAGGGCTGATGGCCAGAGAAGAGGTAAAAGCCACAGAGCCTGTGTAGGTGGCTTTAGAGCTTCTTTTGAAAAGGGGGGGCATGGCAAGTGGGTGGGCTTCGAATCACAGCCCAGACCATAGCCATGTGGGGTGCAAGATGAGGGAGCAAGACAAGTTTAGAGGGAGCCATGGACGACTGCGGCCCTCTCCAGCCTGGTCCTGTTTCCCTTCCCATCCCTCCACCCCTCCACCCCCCCATCCATCCTCCCTTCCCATCCCTCCACCCTCGCCCCCTCTACATCCTCCCTCCCCCCCCCAGCCAGCACACTCAGACCCATAAATGTTGCCTTCCAGTTCTTCCCCACTCCCATGCCCGATGCAGTTCCTCCTCCTGCAAGGCAGGCGTCCGGGCGCCCGGCGCCTGTGTCACTCACACGCCTGCCGAAAGCGCCGTCCTCCCTCGTTCTAATGACACCATCCTTGGCTAAAAAAATAACAACATCTTTGTGCCTGCTGGCCTTTCCAGGTTCCCCACTTGCCGGGTTTCTGAGGTGAATGAAGCAAAGAGGAAACCCAGGGCCCTCGCTGTGCTGCCCAAGGGGCCCGTGGCCCTGGCAGACCCCTCTGTCCCCACCTTTCAGCCTCTCTACCTTGTCTCATAGCTGCCGTCAGGCTGCTGACTGGGGACCAGGGGCGTGTGTCCAGCCCGTCGTCCCACAGCAGCGTCCGGGGAGGGGTCCATTCGGGGCCCCTCCTCCTCCAGCCTGGCTTCCAGCACCAGCCCTGGACCTACCGTCCAGCCCCCTCGGGCTCTGATCTGCTCCCTTGGGGGTGCAGGGCTTCTCCTTCCTTTGGGCCTTCGCACAGGCTGTTCCCTTTGCCCGACACACCCTTCCTCCTTGCACTTGGTCAGTTGCGCTCCCCCCACCCTCTCCCCCCAGCTGTAGCTTCCTGAGGTCCAGGCCCCCTGTGCTCCAGGTGTCGCTCTGATGGGAGATTGGAGCTGGGAGGGGGGGGCAAGTCTGGCTGGACTCTCGCTGGGGAACACAGGATACTCTGTGAGGGGCACGCAAGGGCAGGGGCGGGTGGAAAGCGCTCTGGCCTGGGCCAGCCAGATACCTGGGGCTTTGTACAGTCTTGCGGCTGAAGGGGTATTCCCGCCCCTCCCTGGGCCTCAGTTTCCCCCTCTGTAAAATGCAGTTGGGGAGGGGGTTGTTTAGCGACAACATGGGCTCTCTCGGTGGTGTTCCTGAAATGGCCACATGGTGGCACCAGAGGGGGCTTTATTGCCCCTAGAAGGAACTCGTGGTACCCCCGCCCCCCTCACCTCCTCCCAGAGTGGTACGTGGGGTCACATGCACCACTGAACCCCTAAATGTGGCCAGTTGCACTGAGATGCACTGGCAGTATATAATAGCCGCTGGATTTCAAAGACAAAGAAAGAAAGACATCTCATGAATTGCTTTTTATATTGAGTCCCTGTGGACCTAAGATGGCAGATTTGTTATTTAAATTAATTTTTTACTTCCTTTCACTTTTTAAAATGAGCCTGTTAGTAAACTGAAAGCATCATCATTAAATGAACAAGTTAAGACCACAAGTGACTCCCACTATTCCGACTGGCCAGTGCCCAGTTCCTGCTCCCACCTTGGGGCTGTCCACCCTGGCAGAGTGCTAGATTCCTGCCCCGGCTCCCACCCCCTGCCCCTCGCGGGCCTCCCCAGGGGGCAGCTCACAGGGAGAGCAGTTTGGGTTTGGGATTCAGCCCCAGGCTACACCCACCTGGGCTTCCTCCCCAGAGATTCTTGCAACCCGAGCCAGCTGGCAACATGTTCACTCCATTGTCCAAGTCAGGAAATCGAAGTCCAGGCTGACAGGTAAACGGAGCGAGGATATTCGAGCTGGTTGTTATCACCCCATCACATCCCTTCAGAGACAAGATCAGTCAGCCATGCCTGACCCCTTCCACTGGGCCCTCAGGGGCCAGTCCTGCATGTGTGAGTCCCTCTCTAAGCGAAGGGACAGGAGTCCCGATGGGAAGAAAGACCCCCGTGGTGCTTACTGTGACGCTCGTTCACCCTGTCACGGTGTGGCAGGCACACCAGGCCCGCTGTGCTTATCTTGGCCACGGCCCGTGAAAAGTGTGTCGCAATCATTCGACTTACGTGGCACAAGTAAATGGGTAGGATGCGACAGAGACAGCAGATCAAGCCAGGTCCACCTGATGGAAAAGGTCCTTGTGTTTTCTTCTCTACTCCGCTTCTGCCCCGGAGTCTTACGAACTCTCTGGGCTGCAAGTAACAAAATTCCAGTTTGGGGAGGTTCCTGGAGCAGTGTAACTGGAGGATCGCGCTGGGTAGCGTCAGGCATGGCTGGGGGCCAGGAGCTCTTTCCCAGCTCTCGTTTCTACGTCCCGCGCACGTCGGTGTCTGTGATACCTACCAGCAGCTCCAGGCGAAGGCAGCTTCTCCTAGCTACATTTTCAAAATCCAAACCCAAAGGAAACGCAGCTGTATCTCTTAGGCATGACTCTCAGAGCTCGAGGAGTGGGCTAGTGGAATGATGGGTCAGTCCCGTCGGGCTGCGTAGCTCCTTCCGGGAGGGAGTGGGTAGTTGGTTCCAGCCCCTCAGCACAGATACGAGGACTGCTTTACCCCAAGGGGGAAGAGCTGCTGGGCAGCTGTGACCTCCAGATGGTGCCTGCGTTTTCCAAGTGCCCCATGCCTTCTCCGGTGAGAAGTCTACCCAGAAGCGCGGGGTTTTTGCTATCAAGTCTGAGGACTTTCCATCTCCCGTCTCCCTGCAGGTACTACTGAGAGGGACACTGTCTGTGAGGCTCCTTCTCCAAGGACCAGTCCCAGGTGCACCACCAGCTCAGAGGACTGCAGGGCACCAGCCAGGTGACTCCCGGCACCCTTCCATCTAGCTGACCTCGGCGTGGGGTGGAGCGAGGACTCGCTGCCCAGGGCACAGCTGGGCTGGGTGGGCCGGTGTGCTTTAGCCCAGGATGTCAGGAATCCGGGGCCCTCTCTGCCAAGCCCACATCGCCCGAGGCCCCCACTCCGTTCTGAGCACACTGGAGACACAGGACCTGAACACGGGGCTTCCTGGAGGCTGTGAGGCCTGGGCCCCCTCACGATGGAGACGGTTTGCCTCACGCAAAGACCTCCCTGGCCCATCAGCAGAACTGTCAGTCTCACCTCTGGCTTCCTCCTCTGCAGCACCATCCCCCTGACCCCGCCCGCCCTGATCTCCCCGGCCAGCTCTGATGCCAGGACCCTGCTTCTTGGAGGGCGCACCTCCCTTGCTCCCAACTTCCCACCCTCTGAGGGGAAACCCAGTCCAGATTCAGGTAATTTCTCCAGGGAAGCTGTGAGTTGTCTTCGGGGCTCCTGTGTCTGATGGCTAGGTGGCACTGAGCTGTGGTCTCCCCCAGTTTGCAGGGGAGAAGGTCTCAGGTCTGACCTGGGGCTGGGACCTCGAGCCAGAGAGGCTGGAGGAGGGGGCTCAGCCGCTCCCCCAGTTCCGGGCTGGCTCCGCTGTGCCAGCTCTCTGAGGCAGCTGCTGCCAGGCCTTCTTGCCATGGGCAGAGCAGGTGAGCCTCTGTTCGATTCACCCCTGTTTCCCTGGAGAAGGTTGGGGTCTCTGAGTTTCTTCCTTTTTAGTGCTCAGTAGCACAGCGTGTTTTTTTTTTTTTTTTTATCTTTGTGTAGAACTGGGGATTCCCCAGAGACAGAGTCGGGGGCAGAGTAGGCAGATCTACTGAAATACACTGCTGGGGGTGTGGTGTGCAGCCGGGAGACTGGGCTCTGTGGGTCACTCCCCACCTAGGGATTGAACTCCTGCCGCAGTAGCTGCTGATAGCTTCATAGTGCTGAGGCGCAACCCTTATACCATCGGGGGACCCACACACCCCTATTTTTGAATATATACACAGTTTCTAGCTATTTGTGTTCTATCCACTTTGGGGTGGTAGCGAATAATGAAACAAGAGTCTTCGTGTGAATGTATATATTTTTATTTCTCTTGGGCTCGTTTATTGGTGTCAACAAAGTTTTTATAATTCTGGGGGTTCCCCTCTGTCCTATGGCTGTGTTCAAAAGATCCTCTCCTGCCCGTGGTTTATCTTTTTACTCTCTTTACGATATCTTTTGATGAAGACGTGGTGTTAATTTTAATGTGGTCAGATGGATTCATCATTTTCTTTCTGAGTTGTGTTGTCTGTGGTGAAAAGCTTTTTATTCCATTGAAGACTTGAAGGCATCTTGATGTATTTTCTAGGTTAATTATTGTTCTGCCCTTTCCATTTAGATCTGTCTTCCACCTTGACTTTGTGAATGGTGCGAGGCAATGGTCATGTTGAAAAGGTGTCCACGTGAGTGACCAGTCAGACCAGTACCATATAGCAGATAAATTGTCCTTTCCCTGCTGTTTCCATGACATCTTTGTAAGCCCAGGGTCCGGTTATGTATTTGTCTGTATTCTGTTCCATCAGTCTTTTTGTCCAGATTGTGTGGATACCGTCCTGTTTTGATAATCATAACTTTTCAGTTACTTCTCTGACTATGTTCTTCAACAGCCTATCATTTTAGAATCAGCTTTACAAATTCTGCAAAACACCCTCATGGGACTTTGTGTAGGGGGCATTGACTTGAGAGAGAAGTCAGTGAGACTCTGCACCTTTACAGTATTGAGCCTGTGGCATAGTCCTACATTCATTTAGTCCTGTAAAGTCTTCCAATAGTATCTTTGAGCTTTTAATATAGAGATTTTGTCAGATTTCCAGGTATTTGATATTTCTGTAGGTCTGAATGGTGTCTTTTTCAGCATTTCATATTCTGTCATTTTTAGTATTATTTTACTATTGGAAATGGCCATAGTTAATTATATCTCACCGTTCATAATTTCATGTAATTCAACCTAAGCATATAGACATTTCACTGACTTTGATGTAGTAACATTATACCCAGCTGCTTTGCTGACCTCACTTACTACTTCTGATGCTGTATGTGCAGATTCTTCTGGACTCTTGTGTGCTCAATGACATCACTTATCCATGGCAGCCTAATAGCTTCTTTTCAAAGCCTTCCCATTTTTATTTCCTTTTCTTGCCTTATTGCATGACTCAGGACCACCATGAATGGAAAGTGTGGTTATGGGCGTCCCTACCTGGTTGCTGATCTTAAAGAGAAAGTAGCAGCTGAAGTTTTGAGTGGGACAGTGAATAGTGAGTCAGCAGAGGGCCAGGCAAAGTGGAAATGGTGGTCTCAGAAGGATCCTTCTGAGCGGATGGGGGGGCCGTTAGGAGACTGTCCTCTCCTGTGTGGCCTCAGACACAATCCTCCCCTCTCTGAGCCTCAGGATGCTCCCTCAGGGGGAGGCTGGATCTGATTGCAGAGTTGGGGGTGTCAGGGATTGGAGGGAGGGAGGCATTTGCCAAGCAGCCCAGCCTGCAACCGCTTTGCTTCTTCCCCAGGGCTGTCGCCACGTCTGCTGTGCCCTCCGGGGGCCCCTGACTGCAGGAAGCAGTGTGACCCCGACTACTACCTGGACCGGACGGGCTTCTGCATGGCCTGTGTGAGCTGTAACAGAGGTGAGGAACTGTCTTCCCTGCAGGGCTTCCTTCCAAGAGCAGAGGGACCTCAGAGAGCTCCTGGGGTGTGGGGGTGGCCATGCTTGGTCTTGGCTCAGCTCTCAGGAGCCCCATTCGCCTCTCTGGGATTCTGAGCACTCAGCATCTGGGCTGCTCGCAGGACCATGGATGCAGATTTTGGTGACCCCCTTTAGGGGTGTCTTCACCCTCTCCCCCTTTCCTTCAAGGAAATGCCACGAATCACCTCCCTGTCCCAAACTTGTCTCATAGCTTTTCAGGACTCACTCCAATGCCCAATGGTGACTGTCCCCATTTTATAGCAAATGAGGCTTTGGGAAGCTGGCACTTGGGGGTAGCAGGACTGGAGTTGGATGCTGGTGTCTGCCACCGGCTTCTGGGCTCGGGGCTCTCCTTTGTGCTGACACTACACACCTCTCTGGACAAGCACTTATTGAATGACTGCTGTGTTCATGGCAGGTGGCCCCGGCTGGACCTGTGGCCAGCTCACTGCAGCTCCCATGCTGGGCCATCCAGGAGCTCGGGGTGGAAGGCTGCCAGGGCCCAGCCCACAGAGGTTGCTAGGGAGCGCGATTCCCGCATCTCATCTGGGGGGTCTCTCTCTCTCGCAGCCCCATGACCAGGTGAAGAGAGCCCAAAGAGCAGAAAACACAGTTCTTTGTCACTGGGGCCCTTGTCTGTCACTAAGACCACCTCGCCAATTTTCTCAAGGCTTAGTGGCAAGAAACCAGACCATGTTTTTCTTGTATTCATGTTTTGCGGGTCAGAATTCACCAGGGTGATGCAGGAACCACTGGTCTCTGCCCCATGATGTCAGGGTCTCAGCTGGAAAATGCACAGGCCGGTGGCTGGAGTTCTCTGAAAGACATTCCTTCATGATCTGGGGGTCAATGCAAGCTGCTGGGGGGCTCCTGCTCCATGCTGGCCTTTGTGTGGCTTGCTTGGGCTTCCTCCAAATGATGACTGCTTCCAGGCACAAGACAACTGGGGGAAGCTGCGTCTTTTTTATGACCCAGCCTCCGAAGTCACCACAGCATAACTTCCAGCACTTTCTGCTGTCAGTGCAGTCTCAGCTCCCACTTCAGCTGAGGGGAGGGGCCAAATGGTCCTTCGGGGCGGGGGGGGGGGGGCTGAGTTCTAGGGAAACAGATGGGCTCGGAAATATGGCTGTGGCATATACGATCTCATGGCCTCCATGTCATATGCAGAGATGGCTCTGTCCCAGGAGCGCTTCCATGCCACAGTCAAAGGCAGGTGAGAGCTTGCCCCGGAATACATGCTTACCTGCAGCATGGACTCTGGAGCCCACGTGCCTGGGCTCAAGCCTTGACTCTGGCACTTGGCAGTAATGGACTCAGCAAGTTTCTAAACCAGGCGGGCCTCTGTTTCCTCATCTGGGAGACGGGTACATTCACGGTGCCATCTGAGAGATGTTTTGGGAATCACACAGCTGGCTGGTCTGGTTGTGCAGCTGGCTATTCTGGGTAGCATGCCCACGATGCTGCCTGGCACCGTCTGTCTCTCGGGAGTGTCGCTGCTGTTTGGCATGAGCCTGCCCACTGGTGTGAGCGCAGCTTCCCGAGTCTCCTCAGCTGCTGTCGCTCCAAGTTGCAGGAAGAAACTGTTGTAGGCCTGGTGATTGGCAGGCTGAGCATCCAGCACCCTGCCTGCTGAGAAATGTCCTTAGCGAGTGGTCAGTCGTGTCTGATCCACGGATGTTTTCTTTTACAAAACTTAAGTGTTTGTTTTATGTTGTGATTTTGAAGTAAGATTTTCCTTGGGGGGAAAAACTTTTAGCATCAAAAATATATTCAAAAGTAGAGAAAATCAGGAATGGTTATGGATGACCACCCGTTTTTTAAATGATCAAGTCCCGGGCACTCTTGGCTCATGTACACCCAGGCCCACTGACCCTGTCCTCCGGGTTATTTCTTCTAACAACTTTTTTTGAGATAGAATTGACATTTGACATGACACACAAGTTGAAAGTGCACGGTTAGAGAATTTTCAACACTTGCCATTGGGACCATCACCTCTTTCAAGGCAATGGACTGTCCATCACCCCCAAACGTCTCTCGTAGTCCCTGTCACCCTGACTTCCATTCCCCAGCCCTACCGCCATTCCGTCCAGTCACTCTGCTTTCTGTATTATGGGATTGTTTGCCTCTTCTAGTATTTTCTTTTTCAAAAGATTTATTTATTTATGCACACCAGAACTGGGGTACAGGCCAGAGATGTGGAGGTGAGCTGATTCCCCAGAGACAGAGTGGGGAGCAGCACTGAAATCCAATGCTGAGGGGCCAGTGGGGAGACAGGAGAGGTCTGCCGCACCATGTGGGTCACTCCCGGGCCGGGGATCAGACTGGTGCTGTGGTGGCTGCAGACAGCTTTTAACCCGTTGTGCCACCAGGGAGGGCCCCACCTAGCATTTTCTATGATTGGATTCATGATCATAGAAATTCTGTTCTGTTGTGTCCGCCTTTCTGCATTCAGCATCATTGTTTTGCGTGTGCCACGAGGCCTGATTTGTTTCCTTGTGGGATGACCCCTAGAGAGATGCTCCTCGGTCTTCCGGGGGAGACTCTGGACCCCCTGACCCTCCTCTGTGTCCCTCAGATGACCTTGTGGAGAAGGTGCCCTGCACACTGACCTCCGCCCGTGTCTGCGGGTGCCGACCTGGCCTGTTCTGCGTCACGTCAGCCAGCAACTCCTGTGCCCGCTGTGTCACCGGCCCCACCTGCCCGCCAGGGACAGTTGCCCAACTCCAGGGTAAGCACCCCCCACCCCCAGCCAAGGGGCTGAGGTCTGTGCCCCGACCTGTGTACTGTACCCACTCCCGGCCGGACAAATGACCTTCAACCTCCACCGCTAACGCGGTCTGGCTGGGCTTTGGTTTTTCCTGGAGCAGTTAGGTCCGGTGAGTAGAATAAAATCCAGACTTGGCATTTTGGTAAGAGGCACCGATGATTTCTTTTCTTTTCTTTTTGAATCCTTCCTCCTGAAATTGCTGGGCTGGTGAAATCTTGGCTTACTTGCAAGGTTGTTTTATTAACTCAAGATAGAGGAATATGACGTTTACAAAGAGACTGCCAACGCTGAATGGCGAGGACTTGCCAGAGAGCAGAAAAATGAATCCTTTGCAGTGAGTAAAAGAGGGTGGTTGACTTCATCACCAGATCAGTTTTCGGCACATTTTTAGAAGGCAGAAAGCAGCGGAAAGGAGATGGCGTACAGAGAAAGCGGGGAGAGCTCACCCCAGAATCCATTCCATGAGGCTGGAGTCGTCTAAAAGCCAGTCCTTCAGTGGCATTCATTGTGAAGAGAAAGAACTTGCTCACAAGATGTCCAGAGAGGCTCTGGATTTGTGACCCAAGAAAAGGGAAAGATGGAGTGGAGAATTGAAAAGTGTAATGGGCCACATCTTCATCTTCAAAAAAAAAAAAAGCATGTGCATTTGTAACAGTGGTCTGAAAAGAATCAACTTTTTGGCTAAAGACACCAAAGGAATCGCTAAGGAAAGCGAAGGCCTTGCTGCACGGCGTAAAGCCCTCTCTGTGTATTTGGGAGCTCCCCATCAGTAGGATGGTCACCCTGAAGTGAAGACCCCCAGCTCATACTCCCTGCCACCGACACAGGGTCCCCAGGCAGGGGAACCCCCGGTCCCCCTTTAACCCAGCAACCGGAATACTCAGCATCGCCCTTTTTCAAGCATATGAATGAGCAGTGAGGACGGCAAACTTAAAAGGACAAGCAGCAGTCTGGAGGAGGAACACAAGATACTCAAACAGAAAAACAAAACCCAAATGAAACAACAATCAGAGAGCTTTTCAAAATGTAACATGTCCACAGACGAATTGAAGAAGTTCCATCGATAAAGGGAGAATAGAATGCTGTGAAATGGGACAGCAAGAGAGCAGAGGGCAGAATATCAAAGCTGTCAGGAAGCTGGCTCTTCATCAACCTGCCGCCTCCAGTGCTTGGCTTGTCGCGGCATCTGCTGCGTGTGTGCTCAAGGCTTGGCCGCTGCAAGCATGTTCGCCAGCAGAGGGCACTGGAGAGCCATTGCGGAAGGAAGGTGGCTTCTCACCGCCTTTGGTTTTTCTTGCTCGGTCTGTGCATAGTCAGCAGGGCTGCGGGTGGGCACATCGGGTGGTGGTGCCCTACCCTAGTCACGCTCCCAGGGTGGATGAGCCTTCAGCAACCTCACAGCCACATACCACACCTGATGACCACCTTGGTGTGGAGTTCCGAGTGGAGACACTTGCGTCCTTCAGGCCTCATGTCAGCACTAAACTCCCCACCAACCTCGGGCATGTTTCCATCGTCCTTCTGATGGTCACTGTGAGCTCTAGGTCCTGAACCCACAAGGGAACCCCAACTGTCCCTGTACGCCTGAGCTGAAAATTATTAAAGGATCTACCAAGAACAAAGCAGGGTGAGTGAAAGTTACCCACATCTACACAGAAGAATTGTATCATCGTTTTGAAATCTATTCACCAGTTGATGGATATTTGGGTTGTTTCCAGCTTCAGCTTATTATGAATAAAGCAGACATTCTTATATAAGTCTTTGTGTGGACTTATTTTTAATTTTGTGTGGATAAACACCTAGGAGAAGGATGAGTGGGTTACTGTGCTGGCCACACAGAATGTCTCTGAAACCAGTCGAAAGATGGGCACCTGTGATCTGATCCAGCCACCTAGAACCACAGGGACAGAGCTAGAGTCAGAACCCAAAGGTCCTGAGCCGCAGCCTAGAGCATGCTCCATTGGCCACATCTGTTTACAAGGCAGAATTGAAATACATTTAGGTATAAAAGGGTTCAGGATGCTTTTCCCTATGTGTACTCTCTTTGAAAGCTATTTGAAGACATAATCCAGCTAAATAAAAGGAAAACACAAAAGCAAATGAACAAACATAAAAGAAAGCCATGGAATTTAGAAAACAGTGATTCTACCCCAGGAGAACAAGGATTGATAGCCATGCTGAAGACCAGTGAACCCAGATCGGAGCATAAAAAATAGGACACCCCACATCCTAGTGATCACCTCCTCAGGGGAGCCTTGTGGTCAGATGAAGATGAGACCCTCTAGTGGACCCCGCATGTCCTGTTGTGACCCCACCAGCCTTGGATTCCTGTGGGTGGGCACGTGCTTTGCCACGGCTGTTCCCAGCTCTCACTGTAGAGCTTGGTATATAGTAGGTGCTTAATAAAGAGTTGTTGCATGGAAGGAAAGAGGGAGGGAGGGAGGAAGGAGACAGAAAACTGACACAGAGTGGGGTGCCCTGGGGCTACTATGCTGTATCCCTCTGGCCCACCCCACTGCCTCTGGGGGATCTCCAGTCCCTGGTGGGTGGGGCTTCTTGGTACTGATTCTAAGGCTATCTCCTACAGGTGTGACAGAGCAGGGCGCCAGTGAGCTATCTACTTCAGGGACCCCCTTTGACTGTAGACCCTACCCAGAAGACCAGACACCCTCCAGGTGAGCCCTGCCTTCTCTCCCTTGGGCCCCCAAGCCCCCACCCGCACATCCAGGGGATGCCTGGGAGGCTGCTGGGCTGGGCTGGGCTGGGGCCTGGGTGGAATCTCCCTGGGAAGCCAGAAGGTCACTTGGGGATGTGTGTTCAGCTCCGTGCAGACAACGGGTGGGGAGTGAGGGGACCCAGGCGTCATCTACACAACCCCTGTAGAAAGGGGACTGTTCCTGAGCACACGCTCCCTTTTTCGATCCGAGTCACCTGTCTCACCTGTGGCATCTTTCCCCAGCACCATTCCCTCCCTGACCCCGCTGGCCGACTTCCAGACCATCGAGGGACAGGAAGTGACCTCCTCTACCGAAAGTCCCTTTCTGTTGCCAGGTAACCATCACCCCATCAGCGCGAAGGAAGCAAGGCTTTCCTCCCAGGATTGTCCCCGGGTGACAGTGTCCACTGGGTGGGGAGGGGGCGCCAAGATTGTGCTCCTTGAACTTGGGCTGGGGCTCTGGCTGCAGGTTGGTGTTTTCCTTTATTCTTGTTCACAGCTTCATTCCCATGGCCCACAATAGCTGCTTAGAAAATATTGGTTGAATGACTTCACGACCTTAAAAAGTGCCTTCGTTCTTCTGAGCCTCAGTTTTCTCACGTGTGACAGGGTTTCTCGCCCGTGATAGGATCGTGAGCAGCAGCCTGGGGTGTGTAGCTGGCACGTCACCCCGCTGCCCGCGCCAGGCTCCTCAGGCCAAGTCCGATATTGGGGGCTGCAGTTCTAGTTCTCGGCACTAGATGGCGGTGGCGGCCAGGGCTGGCCTGCCCCATCCCATCCCCACTGACTCAGCTCTGCGCGTTAACTGTCCTCAGGACATTCTCACAGGCTTCTATCTGGTGCTTAATATGCTTTAACACCTGACAATGGACTTTAACGAGCATAATTAAGTAGAGGATCGCATAAGCAACCCAAGCAAAATAGGAAGCGAGGAAGGACCAAGATGGAGAGAAGAGCACTGGTTGGCGGCTTGGCGTGTGAGCCGAGGGGCAGTTCTGCCCGGCGCCTTCAGGGTGACCTTGGCTGTCACTTGACCTTCTCCAGCCTCACTTTCCCTTGTTTGTAAAACTGAGCCAGTAATGGAGCCCTGGGCTGGGGGTGTTGATTTGCGCAGAGACCCTCGCGGCGTGCATGGAAGCGTGGAGACCCCTGCGCATCTGGGGGGAGCTGGGAGTCGGCAGGCTCCCTGGACAGGACACCCTCACGATGCCCTGTCCCCAGGCCTGGCGGGTGGCGCACCCGCCTCTTCCGCAGCCCCGTTGCTGCTTCGCTCTGGCTCCTGCACCCCTCAAGGCCTCACCCCTAGAAATGATGTGCTTTTCTCTCAATTATCTATATTTTTGAAGGGTTTCCTGGAGCCAGGGGGGTCCAGGGAGGGCAAGGCTGGACCACATAGGTACGCTGGGTTGCCACCCGTGGCCGGGTGGAGCCCGTGCCCCAGGGGCAGGGACTGTCCTGCCTGACTGCAGGGGGACTGGGGCCCGCGTGGGCCAGAGTGCAGCGTCCTCTGTGTTCTAGGACATGTGCTCTCCTGGGTCTTCCTGATGCTGACAGTGGTCTTGGTGGCCAGCGCCTTCCTCCTGTGCCACCAGCGGGCCTGCAGGAAGTGGATACGGCAGAGTGAGTGGGCGCCTCTGGCCGCGGGGAGGGCTGCGGGCAGGGCGCTGTGCCCGGTCTGGGCCTCCCCCCACTGCCCCCTCCAGCTCCCCACTGTCATTTCAGAGCTTCACCTGTGCTACCCTGCCCAGACCTTCCGGCCCAGGCTGGAGCCTGTGGGTGAGTGCCCAGCTGTCGGGGTGGGGGGGCGGGCTGGGGGCTGCCGCCCGAGTCCCCCAGACACAGCAGTTCTGGGGCTCCCCCGGGGCTCCCTCAGCTGGCTGCCCTCACACAGTGCCTCCTCCCCTGCACGCTCCTGTCAGCACCGTTTGCGTGGAGACTGCGGGAGGGTTGAGAACCACTTCCCTTCCCTCTTTCCTCCACCGCACACAGCAGCGCCCTGCCCGCCTCCCTCCTCTCCTCCCTCCTCCCTTTCCTCACCCTCCCCTCTTGGTGGGGCAGGTGGGGGTCAGTGGGGTGGGCTCACAGGGCTGGAATCTGGTCCTGCCCCTTGCAAGCTGCAGGACCTTGGGTGAGTGACTTAATTCCTCTGGGTCTCAGCTCGCCTGTATGGTGGGGACAGTGGGACCTGCTTCGGTGGGCCTGTGGGTCAGTGGTGACAGGCCACTCAGTGCTTGAGTGTGCACATGGTGCCCTCATGGTCAGGCAGAGAGCAGGGCTGCTGGACAGGCCAGCTATGCCTGGAGCCCTTTTCCTGGTCAGGAGACCCGGGCCTTTTGAGTGCTAGGTTGTCCTGAGCTTCTGCGGGCGCCCCGCCTCCCGGCCCCCTCTCCCTGCAGGCTCTGTGGGCACGGGCAGGGGCGGCCAGCTGGGCCGCTGGCTTCCCTCTGCCCGGATGCGGGGCCCTGGCAGGGGAGGGAGGCACAGCCAGGGTCTGAGCTGTCCTTGGAGGGGCTCAGGGGCCCAGGACCCCTGGGGCGGAGGGTCAAGAGTCCATGAGGAGGAGGCAAAGCTGAGAAGGGCTGGCTGGGCGAGCCTGGGCGTGCCTGAGGACAAGGAGATGGCTGGGGGGGGCGGGGCGGGGGGGGGCAGAAGCCAGCGCACAGGCCTGTTTTGAAGCTGATGGGTTTCACAGGCAGGTGCTGTGCGCCCTCTGCAAGGGGGGTTTTTGTGTTTTGGTAGTTTCAAGCCTTTTTCCATGAGCTGTCAGCCTCACATCTCATTGAAACCAGGTTTGCTTTCTTGACATTTTTCTAGTATTAGAATTTCCATTGCCGTCAGTTTATTTTTTTCTTCAAACTTTTGCGATAGCAGTTTTGTTAATACAGAGAGAGAACAGGCAAGCACCTTTCCTCAAGATGTCAACCCAACAAGGGGCCGAGACAGACTCGGTGGGGCCACCCCGCTTGGGGCTGTCGCTGACCCTCTGGGCCTCTGGCGGCTTCCTTGGGTCCGACCTGGGCTGGGAGGAGGTGACGCCTGTGGGCACAGGCTGAGAAGGGACCGAGCAGCGGTCCCTGCTTTCTCAGACTCCGCCGCCCCTCCCCCAGTGGCTGCCGAGGCTTCTGCTAAATGGCTCCCTCCTCCTGTACTCACGTGGCCCCTGAGCACCGGGGTGCAGCCCCGTTCTGGCCTCACAGACCCCAGCTTTCAGGCCAGCGTCAGCTGCTAAGGGCCCAGGGCCAGCAGATGGGACGTGCACCCGCCTCCTGGTTCTGGGGCCCCTGGCACAGGAGGAGGGTGCGGGCCGGTGCCCCGGATGCCCACCTGTTCTCTTGGCTGACTCGAGAGAGCAACTGTCCAGGTGGGGCCTTTGCAGAGCTCGGCCTTTCTATCCCTCCCAGGGCACCATCGGCCTCCGGGTCCCAGGTCTGGCCAGGAGGGTGAGGTTGGCGGCGGGGGCTGTGTGAAGGCCCCTGCCCTCCGCACCGTGGGCATGAGGCTTTGTCTGGGTCTCGGAGGCTGCCGAGTGGGCGTCCCGCCTCTCGGAGAGACGAGCTGCACCTCCCTAGGGCGCTGAACAGGCCTTGCCAACATCCCCTGGGGAGAGTCACGCTGGGCTGGGAAACACTGTCTGGAATTCTTGCAACTTTCACCCGCCTTAGTCACCAGGCCTCTGTGACTTCGGGCAGACTTCAGCTGACATCTCTTGTTTGTGTGTCTTGAGACGATCTCAGAGTTACAGAGGAGCACACACAGAGCCGGCTGAGTAATTCCGACTGGCCGTCTCGTCACCTGTGGCCTTCGGCCGAACATGGGCGTAGCTTGGCGTGATCAACAGGAGAGCTCTCGGCGCCTGCCATCACCACACCCGTGCTAGGCCTTTCGTCCTCCCCCCGCTCAGTACTGACCTTTAGAACAAGGGGAGCCGCTTGGGAGTCTCAGGCGACCCCCAGGGCTCCTCCGAGCCGGGGCGGGTCCTCCGCACTTTGAAGCCTGTGCCTGCCCCTGACCCTGGGTCTGTCCGAGGTCGCCTCCTGCCCCGAGTCAGGCCGCGGAGCCCCCAGCGAGGCTCGAGCTCCTCAGGCCTCTGCCCTCCCGCTGTCGCCCACTGGAGCCCGTGACGAGCGTGGCGTCAGCAGGCTCCTGACTCTGGGGTCACTGCGAAGTATTTTGAGGGAAAGTGCTTCCAGCCAAAGGGAATCACCCAGCGCTCCTCAGCCTTCCCTTCTCTTCACTCATTTATCCGTGTGGATCGAGGTTACTCGCCATCACTACTTAACCCATATTCCGAGCACCCTGGGGAGCCCCGCAGCTGGCTCCCAGGCCCTGTGTCCCATTCTTTCCGCTAAGAAGCCTCTCCTGTGCCCGGGACCCAGCGCTGCCCTGTCCCCGGGCTGGTGCCCGCTTCTAGGGGCAGCTGTGCGCAATCTCCCTCCGTGACCGGCACGCTCCGTCCCGCCCTGGTGGGCGCAGGGCTGTGTGGGCTGGGCGGCCACGCAGCCACGCCAGGTGCGGCGCCTTCTGGGTTCCTTTTCGCCCTGTGGCCGGCTGTGTTTCTGAGCGTCGGCAGCCGGTGCCAGTCTCCGCATCGCGTGACGGGTGCCGTGCCCTGCTGAGTCCCGGGACCCGCCCAGGGCACTTCTCCTTTTAGACTTTTTTTTTAAAGTTCCCTCACACTTTTTGACTGTCTGATTTTTTTTTTTAAATTTATTTATGTATGCATACAGAACTGGGGTACAGGCCAGAGGTGTGGTGGGCGGGAAGATTCCCCAGAGGCAGAGCGGGGAGCAGAATAGGCAGATCGACTGAAACCCACTGCTGAGGGAGCAGCGGGGAGACAGGGGAGCTCTGCTGCGCCCTGGGGGTCAGCTCTGGGGCTGGGGATCGAACGTGCACTGAAGTGGCTGCGCCTTGACCCGCTGCACCACCAGGGAGGGCCCCTCTTTTAGACTTTTACCATTTTAGAGCAGTTTTCAATTGGCAGAAAACTCGAGAAGACAGAACAGAGTTCCCAGGGGCCCCACACCTGTGCCCTGTCAACGAACGTCCTACCTGACCATGGTGCTCAGGTCACAGTGGTCAGACGACCAGCTGTCCGTGGCTAGGGCCCCTCTTCCCTGGGAGCCCACCCAGGCCCCCCCGTGACACCAGGCCGCGTTCCTGGTCTGCTCTGGCTGCCGGCGGGCTGTGGCTCTCCTTGTCTTCGATGACCTCGGCGGTGGGAGGCGTCCGGCCAGGATGGCGCGCGCCTACCTGTTTGGCTTCTGGTGTTTTTCTCCTGGTGGGGTTGGGGTGGGGGCGCGGGGAAGAGGGCACACAGGTGCGCCGTGTGGCCCAGGGGTGCCTGCCCGCTGGGCTTACCTCTGGCTCCTTCCCTTTCCAGGCCCCTTTGCATAAGAGCCCCGCTTCCAGACATGAGGCTGGGGAGGGGAAGTGCTGCGGGGGGCCGCGCCCCAAGGCCCCCCGCTGCCTCCTGTTTACCTGCTGGCTTCCAGTTTCTGGTTATTCTGCATCTCGAGGCACAACAGCCTCCTCGTTTTCTTCTGGTTATTTCCTGAGGGTGTGTCACCGGAGTGGCTTGAACTGGGTCAAAGGCTGAGAGGGTTTCTTTCTTTTTAAAAAATCATTTATTTTTGAGTAGAAGAACTAAGGCGCAGGCCAGAGGTGCAGGTGAGAGGGTCCCCAGAGACAGAGTGGGGGGCAGAACAGGCCGACTGACGAAGCCCACTGCTGAGGGGAGCAGCGGGGAGACAGGAGAGGTCTGCTGCGCCCTGTGGGTCCCTCCCTGGCCGGGGATCGAACTCAGGCCGCCTTGGTGGCTTGCTGAGACGTCACCCACGCGTCGCCAGGAAGGCCAGGGTGTGAGGTTTTCATTTCCAGCTGGCTGCTGAGAAGGAGCTAGAGCCAGAGCCGGACAACTGGCTTCCTGGCTGCCTGCGTCCCCCCCAAAACTGAGTTTGACCATGTGGATTATTTGTCTCATCTTGTCATGTGCTTTTCTCCCTCTGTGGCCACCCCAGGGCCCCGGCACCCAATCCCAGTTGGCTGTTTGCAAAATCTCAAATCACTGTCAGAGTCCAAGACCCGGACAGCAGACGAGACCCCCTGGTGCCGTGGGGGCCGTGGATGGGCCGCGCCTGGGAGCGTGCCACCCACCAGTTCTCAGAAGCAGTGACCTCAGCCCGTGCCCAGTCTAGAAGGGGCCTCGTCGCCCTCACACTACCGCGACTTTGCCCGTCAGACGCCCCCTCGCCGAGGCCCCGCATTGACCGAGGCCCTCAAGCCCCCCCACCCCCCACGCCAGCCCCTCTCGTTTGTGTCCTTGCGCTTGGTGGGCTCCCAGGGAGCGTCTCAGCTCGAGTCCTGGACCCCAGAGCTGCTGAAGCCAGAGAATGTTCTGGAGGTGCCTCAGCTGGTGTACCGGGCACCCCAACAGTGTAGCCTTGGTCAGGGTGCATCCCTCGCAGAGGCTTATTCCAGGCCTCCAGAGGGTCCTCTTTGGGGACCCTAAAAGGTTGTGGATCCCAAGAGGATGGCGGCCCCTGGGAGTCCTTGCTCGAGAACAGGCCGGGAACGTGGGCACCAGCTCCCCTTTCTCAGATGGCCAGTGGGTCACGGTTAACTGCCAATGTCTGCTTGGCCGTGGCCTGCCCCGTTTAATAGGAGGGGACAGCCGGAGTGGAGGGTGGGGCTGGGGCCAGACGATAAAGAGGGCGCCCTCCGAACGGCCGCCCCAGCCGACCAAAGGCAGGACGGGGCTGAGGGGTGCGCCCTCGGGGTGGTGCCGCTTTCGGGCACACGGTTGAGAACTGGATCCACCTGGCCTGGGGAAAGGGCTCCGGAGTCTGGGCGCAGGCATGTCTGGCGCCTGCTCTCTCTCATCTTGGGGTCCTCCGGGCAGGGTGGGATTCCAGGTGCTCTGGAGAGTTGTGGGCTCTTCGGGTCATGGGGTCTTTGAGGGGCTCTGTGCATTTGCGTGTGTGTGTCTGTCTGGTGGGGACCCCTAGGGAGGGGTTCATGGTACAGGTGGCAGGGGAGAGGGGCTTCCTCATCCCCTGTCTGCGCTGCTGGTGGGGCACTGGACTGGGGCACCCCCCAAGTGCCTGCTCCCCAGCCCTACCCTGCGGGGGTATGCGGGTGGGGCCTTGGCCCCGGGTGGGGTGGGGCAGGAGCTCTTCTGCCAGATCTTCCTGGTGAAGTTGCTGCTCTTCTGTCTTGCAGATTCCAAGCGTGGGAAGAAAGGCCCAGTAAGTCTCCAGCCACCCCCACCCCCCTGCCCCTTCCCGCCCCTTCCCTACCAGAGCCGCTGCTCTCCAGCCGCTGGGCCGTGGGGTCAGGCTGGGTCGGGCCCCTGAGCAGCGAGCCGAGACAGCGGGGCCGCCAGCCAAGCCTCGCGCTGGCCAAGGCCTTCCAGAAAGGCCTGCCGACCGCAGGCTGGGCTTTGGCCGCCTTGCTGCAGGCGTGGTCAGGGGGAAGGCGTGTCTGCTCCGGGCTTCTCCTCTTCCAAGATTCCTGCCCCGCAGCGGGGCGACACACCAGTCGCGCGCCTGTTGTAGCTGGGCCACGGCTCCTGCTTTCTCCCAGGCGCTCTGGGCAGGCCTCGTGGCCGGCAAAGGCGCCGTCGGGCTGTTTTACACTAGGGAAGCTGAGGCAGAAGGGTGGCCCCTCTGCTGGAAAAGAGCTAGCGGGCCGGGCCCTCGTCGTGTGACTCCAGAACCCGAGGGCCCAGGCCTCCTGGGAGGACGTCGGCACTTAAAAAAATTTTTATAAGTTACTTTTACATCATTTTGTGCATTTTCCCATCTCAGTTGCAATCCCATCACCAAATCACCCGTGTGCCATCAGCACGTGTATAAGCGCTCGCTCTGCTAACAGCAGCCACCTGTTAGGGTGCTTGTGTGAATTAGGGTGCTAATAAGCAGTACCAGCCGAGAGTGCCTGCCTGTTGTCCTCATTGCTGAGACCACGTGAAAAGCTGGCAGCTCGCACCCGGAATCTGCGTGTGGGACGGAGTCAGGCCTCCCGGCAGACAAGTGCCAGAAGCTGGAGGCAGCTTCAGGCAGACTCACGGGGTCCAGAGAGGAAGGGGGGCTTCCCCGTTTGGAACTGGGGGGGCTGGGGCTCCCCACTGCAGCACCGTTTCCCTGTCCACAGGAATTGAAGAGGAGCCTCTCAGTGGCACAGCCGAGCATGGCTGTGGGGTTCACGAGCCCCCCACTGGTGGAGACCTCCTCTCTCGTGGGGGCGGACTATCTGGAGAGCCAGCGGCTGCTGGAAGCCAGCCCATGCGGCACCCCCCCGCCCCCCAGCGACCCCTCTGAGCCCCGGGCGGCCTCGGAGCACACCAACAACAGGATTGGTGAGTTGGCCTGTTTGGGGGTTCCCGGTGCGGTCAGGGCCAAGGGGGCAGCGGGGGGCGGGGGGCAGACTCGGGCTGGAAGGCCCAGCTTTGTGCTGGGAGTAGGGGCGCTTTCGGTGAAGGAGTGAACCAGTGGTGGCCAGTGCAGCTGTCTCTGCGCCCTTCACCCCAATTAAAATTTCTGCGAAATAGGAATTACAGTGCTGACCTCCGAGGTCCCTTGAGAAGATTCACAAACTAGTGCGTGTGAAGGTATCCCGGTGAGGTGGGGTGACCTTGGGGAAGGGGTGCCCTGGCCTGGCACCTGCTGCCATTAAAGTATAACATGACTGCCCCAGCCCCGACAGCGAGCCCCTGAGGGGGCCAGGAGGACGACAGCCCCAGAGCAGACCTGCCCAGGTCTGGTGCCTCGGGCCCGGGGCAGACGGGCGCTGCTGTGTTTAACTGGGGAAGCTGCCCGCAGGAGGGCGAGCTGATTCCCCCAGGACACCGCTGCTACACGGTGCACCTCCACCCGGGGTTCGGGGGAGAAACCCTGGGTTTGTCCACACCACCCTGGCTCTGCAGAGGCAGGCGCGCTCCTCTCCAGCCCCAGCTCCCTCAGCCTGCCGCTTGGCCCCGGTGCCCCCGGGCCCCCCTCCGCCCTCCTGCCAGCTTGGTAGAGCCCGGTGTCCCCAGCACGTGCCTGCTGGTATCACACCCCTGCTCGAAATCCACCAGGGGGGCCCTGTCATGGCTGAGTTCCAGGATCCTTGTCCCGGCATTCAAAGCTGGTCACCAGCTGCCCCCGCCAGTCTTGCCCTGACCCCTGACCTCCGCAGTGGCTGTGCCCTGAGTTTGGGGTGCCTCCTCTCCCTCCTGCGCTTCTCTGTGCGAGCTGCTTCCTCACCCGTGTAGCCAACTCCACCCTCCTTGAATCTAGTGAATCCCAGATATCCTTGGGCACAGTTTATTTGCCTCCTCCTCCAGGGAGCCCTCCCTGACCTTTTCATGCTCCCATCTATGCTTCGTGCCTCTCTGCTTTGCTCCCCGTATCCCAGGCTGCCCCCACCCAGCAACCTCAGTACTTAGAATTTGCTGCGCCCCTCCACACCCCCGCCTCCCCCCAACCTCGCCCCATGCGCTAGCTGTGGGCGGGGCCCCATGCCTGTCTTCTCTGGAAGGCGAGGCAGGGCTGGGACAATATTAAAGAGGCCTTTGGAATCATCCTGCACGTCTCCATGGCAGGGTGGTGGCTGCGGCTCTTTGGGCAGTTTTCTGCATCAAACTGAAACTTTTGCCATTGTAACTTCCAGCAAGTTTCATTTGAAAAGAATGCATTTTGGGAAATACCACCAAAGGCATCTCCTTCAAATTTCCTGAGAAGACCTAATTTGAACGTTTGTGTCCATGCTGAGTACAGTGACTGGAACTGGGGGGTGGGACTCAAGGGGTGTTGGGGGGCGGGGCAGGGCGGAAGGAGGTATTAGGCATGACGAGCCCTCGTTGGCCTGTAAACCTTGACTAGGATGTGAAAGGAGGTTCTTGGGGGGCACCAACACGGAGGCCCCTTTGTCATCCTGACCCCACTCTAGAGGAGCACTCACCTGTATTGCCCAGTGCCCCAAGGGGACCAACTTTAGGCCTGAGCCTCTTCCCCCAACCCCACCCC